GCATACTTGAGCATTTAATTATTTTAATAGCCGATTTTTTCCCTGCTTTTGTAACCTTATTCTCGTATGTCGTCGTATGTCGTCATCTGTTTAACAAACGTAACTTCCACCAATTATATATTCCCTTCTAAGTAAATTATATCACCCCATTACTTTTTTACGTCGCAATACCTATTTTTAGATTTCTTGACGCGTAAATAAAACTGTAGCATTTATTTCTTACTTCCTCTATCTGTCGTCAGTCGTCTCTTCCTAAATATTAGAAAATGTCTCCAATTGAGACTAAAGTGACCCACGCTTTTCTTTATAGTTATTTAAATAGTAGTGTATAATTTATTTTCTACTTTTTAGTGCATTATTACATAACAACTTGTTATTAAAACGTTTTTAATGAATTTTTTTTTTTGGAGTGCCATGGAAATAATTAATCTATAAATATTAGGCCTCTCAATAAGGATTTTAAATTATAGGCTAATGTTTCATTTTCTATTTAATGATAAGTTTGCTTTATATTTCTTAATAGCAGTTAATCGAAGAACGTCTACCCTCCGCCACCCCCCCCCCCCCCCAACCCCTTAAACGAAATAGAATTTAGAAGAAAAAAATAGGTCACTTTTTACCAGTGTCAGCCCCTGGGAAATTTAGTCCGCCCCCCTCCCCTCAATAAATTTAAAGTGCCCCCCCCCCCCCGGAGATAAAAGTCTGAAAGAAACATTGAACTTACCTTGTCATACTACGGTAGGCTGCAGATGGTTTACGTAATTTGTTGGCTTAAAAGTTTACTAAGAGTACACTAAAAGTATACTTTAATCAACAAACAGCGATGCACATCCATCGGTATACACTTGCCCAACACACTGGTTGAAATCAGAGTGATAAGTAATGTTTAGTAGCATAGTTGGACTTCACATTTAACTACCATTGTACACGGATGTGAGAACAAAATCTAACTGTTCAATCCAAATGTTGATAAATCCAGATTCATTTAATATTGGACAAGTGAAATAAAAACCGGAAAAAGATTACAAATAAATGTACTATATTCGGTTAATTTTCTAGAAAACGGCAATTCCCGTTGTTTAATAAACGTTTATAAAATTTCCGAGTTGCTCTTCGGAAATTCCCAATAGCCCGTTTGCGCAAAAGTAAACATCTAGTTATATAGATCTAGATATAAGGATTTCAGTATTAAGGAATTTTTCTCCCAAACTCGTACTCAGTGACTTAGTGTTAATAAAGTTAGTGAATTAATGCTTAAGAGGTTAAGCGACTATAGATAATGATGAACGAAAAATTTGTAAGTATGCAGTGATGATGGAGGGAAAGGGAGGTGTAGGCAGAGTTTCTTCCAGGCATCTCCTCGAAATGAAATTTATATAATTTATATAGAAAATATATACTTTTATCAGTGTCCGCCCCCCCCCCCCCCGAAGAAAGTTTACCGCCCCCCCCCCCGAAACTTTCAAGTGCCCACCCCCCCGGAGAAAAAAGTCTGGAAGAAACACTGGGTGTAGGGGGTATTATTTTGTTATACAGTGTTACGTTAACATGTTAATTTAGAGCCTTGTCACATGAAACCTGTAATATAGTGAGACTTGTGAAGTCAAGGGAACTCACTCTTCTTGTATTAGTATTATATTTATACTGTTATCTTGAGTGATGTCTCTTACATATATATATATATCTTTGTCTCTCGTCACTTCCGTCCTCTCTCGTTACCATCATGTAGTTGAAGGCCAATAAACGTTTTATATACAACCACATGCTTCTATCGTCAATCCATTACATCTGGCGACGAGGATAAATAATCCACTAGAAAGAGCACCTACTTACTCAAAAAGAGGTTTGCTAGAGCATATTGGCTAAGTATTTCTAGAATAATGGCGCGGTATGGCCAAATAAAAGAATTTGATTCGAATGATGAAACCATTCATGATTATCTAGATAGGTTAAGCTTTTACCTTGAAGCTAACGACGTGACGATAGAAGCCAAAAAGAGAGCTGTTTTGTTAACAGTCATAGGGCCTCAACAATTTAGGCTACTAAAGGACTTATGCGCACCAGCTAGTCCAGCTACCAAGAGCTTTAACGAGCTGAGCAAATTGCTAACAGACCACCATGCGCCTACCCCATCAAAGTTTCTATGTAGAGCTAGATTTGACGGTAGGACTCGTCAACCAAACAAGTCAATATCAGAATATGTTGCTGCTTTACGTCATTTAAGTAGATTCTGTGAATTCGGAGACACGCTGTCTGACAGACTATGTGAAAAGTTTGTGACAGGTGTAAACAGTCCTGATGTTCAAAGAAAGTTGCTGCTCGAGTCAGATCTAACATTAGAAAAAGCAATACAACTAGCAACTTCATTCTAGCAGTCATCTGAGGCAGCAAAATCTCTAAAGCCTTCAGAGATCCATGCAGTAAACAGCAGGTTAGTCAACAAACACCAAACCCATCAGAGCATTTCAGCTTATGCTAAACAGCCTGCACGTTCAAAGCCTAGATCTAAATCTAGTAATAATTATCAAAAATGTCATCGATGCAACGGTCCCCATGCATCTCATCAATGCAAGTTCAAGTCTGCAACTTGTTATAAGTGCAGTAAGCAATGTCACATTGCCAAGGCCTGCTTTGCAAAGTCTTCGTCTGTTGCTAAATCTAGCCAGTCAAGACAGTACCGCAACCAAAGGCAGCATTATGTTAACTCTCACCAAGACTACCTAACCCAACCAATGAACCACTCTACCTGTGAAAATGCTCAAACTGATTCGCAGCCGGATTTCAACCTGTTCTCTGTGAAATCAATAAGTCATGCTCCCATCAATGTACTAGTTAATATCAACGGTTAGAGGATCAGCTTCCAACTTGACACTGGAGCATCTCTAACAGCCATCACAAAGAAAGACTTTGACGCTGTCACAGGAGGATCAGTGCCTCTACAACCATGTCACAAGTGTCTAACAACATACACTGGTGACAATGTTCCGGTAATAGGAGAGTGTATGGTTCATGTAAGTTATAATGGTCAAAGTGTTAAACTTCCTCTTCTTGTGGTTGAAGGAAATGGACCACCATTACTAGGTAGGAACTGGTTAGTTGATCTTAAGTTAAACTGGGAGAGTATATGTTCATTGAACAATGCAAGAGAATCTAGTCTTACTTCAATAGATAAAGTTATATCTGAAAATAAATGTGTTTTTGGTAATCCTGGATTACTAAATGATAGAACAGTGAAGATAAGCATTAAAGACACAAATCCAAGATACTGCAAAGCTAGAGTTCCACCTTATGCAATGAGGAATAAAATTGAAAATGAGCTAAGTAGATTGGAATCTAATGGCATCATAAAGAAGGTAGACTATTCCGATTGGGCAACGCCCATTGTGCCAGTGTTAAAGAAGGATGGTTCTGTAAGAATTTGTGGAGACTATAACGCTACACTGAATAAGCAAATAGAGCTAAATAGGTACCCTATTCCTAACATTGAGGAAATTTCTTTGAATTTGGCAGGAGGAGACAAATTCACTCAATTAGACTTTAGTCATGCTTACACTCAACTAGAACTGCATCCAGATTCAAAAGTCTATACGACAATAAACACACATAAAGGACTCTACCAATATGAAAGACTATGTTTTGGTATATCATCCAGCCCTGGAATTTTCCAAGCTGTCATGGACAGTATTTTTAAGGATATTCCAAATGTTTGTGTTTACTTTGACAATGTGTACATAACTGGTAAGAATGACACTGAACATCTTAAAACACTTAATAAAGTCTTGAAAATAGTTGGTGAAAAAGGTTTAAAGATAAACAAAGATAAATGTCAATTCATGCTGACAGAAATTAGTTTTCTTGGTTATAATTTAAGCAAGCAAGGTATCAGACCTCAACCTGAGAAAACAAAAGCCATTAAAGAAGCACCCAAACCTGAAAATACCCAACAACTAAGAGCTTTTTTGGGCTTGATAAATTACTATGCAAAGTTCATAGGGAATCTGTCTGGTAAACTATCACCACTGTACAAGCTGCTACAGAAAAATGCAACTTGGCACTGGGGTAAACAACAAGAAGCTGCTTTTAATACAGCAAAAGAAGCTTTGTCTTCTGACACCCTACTAACTCACTATGACCCAGGGAAAAGACTTATATTAACATGTGATGCTTCACCTGATGGTGTAGGAGCAGTCTTATCCCACATAGATGAAAAGGGTGACAGACCCATTGCTTTTGCCAGTAGATCTTTGAACCAGGCTGAGAAAAATTATTCTCAGTTAGATAGGGAAGGCTTAGGCATCATTTTTGGTGTTAAGAAATTTCATAAGTTTCTGTTTGGTAAAGAGTTCACCATCTTTACAGATCATAAACCATTGCTAGGTTTATTTGGAGAAAACAAAACCCTACCTGAGCATGCCTCACCAAGAATTCAAGGATGGGCTATCACACTAACTGCATACAATTATGAATTGAAATACAAACCTGGATCTGAGAATAGTGCAGATAGTCTTAGTAGATTACCTTTAAAAAACCAAAGCCTTAGCTATGTACCAGAAGATGTATTTGTTCTCTTCACTATCATGGATAACTCCAATATAAATGTGAATGATATTAAAAGAGAAACACAAAAAGATGAGTGCTTAATAAAAGTATATGAGTACTGTAAGAATGGTTGGCCTGAAGAGTCTGTGAATGATGACTTAAGGCCATATACAGTAAGAAAAACAGAATTAAGTCTAAAAGATGGAGAAGATGCAGTCCATTATCAGTCAGAGTTGCCTAAACAAAGTATTTGTAACTTAATAAATGATTATGGTGATATGGCAAATTTCAAATGCTTCAAATAAGAAGGAATGTGATCATCAAACAACTTTGCTAACATCATTAGCACTTACAGAAACTAAAAGGGTAACATCAAAAGAAAAGAAAAAAGATTTTTGCCATTTAATACACCCACTTCAAATACTGGATCACAGTTGCAAATTGATATGGTCCA